TCTCCAATTTCTTCCTTCTTCTCCTTTCAACAGAATTACTTATCTCATTCACATGACTGACTATAACAATTGCATGGCATCGATTAAGAGATTTCTGTTCTTCATTTCTCACAACTGTTAGCCACTGATGAAGCTGTTTGACTGCTTCCTTCTCCAATATATTGACTACTATCAGGAACACACCACCAGAACCTTGTAACAGATTCTCAATGACAGCACTGTTACTGGAGTAGTATTTTGAATGACCAGCAAAATCATGAAGAATGATGTTACCCAGTGTCCTGTGTTGTAGTTTATAAGGAATGATGCCAGCAGTATAGGGCACTACCCCTCCAACATTTCTAAAGGAACCAAGAACAACAGGACCAATAGCTGTTTCATTGATGACATGACTAAGAGTACTTTTACCAGTTCCAGGATTACCCACAAGGAGAATGTTAACATAAGAATCAACTGGATGAGATATTTTAATGTCATTAAAATTCTTAAAAATAGGAAGAGTATCAGTCCCTCCTCTCTGCTGCTCCTCTTGAGCTAGTTGTAATGGTGTCTTCCCACGATTGTCTTTAGCTGATGAATGACATTTACCAGTTGATAGTAAATATTTAACGGAACGACTGAAAGCAGCAGCAGTGTGAAGAGGTGTCTGCCCCATTGTGTCAGTAGCCATTGGATCACAGTGACGCTCAAAAATGAGATATTTCAACACATCAACATGATCATGTCGTGCAGCATAATGAAGACAAGTCCGACCACCTTCACCTCTTTCGTGTGGGTCACAGCGATATTGAGTAATGAGATCTTTTGTAACATCTAACCAGCCATTCCTTGACGATAAATGAAGTAAACTAGTATGACCAGATAAGCTAATACCAGTAGGCCCCTCCACTAGTGGCAGTAAGCGAACAGCTTCTTCATGATCTCCACGATCAAACGCATCCAAACACCGGCTTTCTAGTGACATCTTGATAGGTAAGGTGGATCAAAACAGCTAACGAGACAGAGAGATTCTCTGGAAGCCGGAAATTCAGATAAAACGAAACGAGGCCTGAAGCTAGGAAGTACGAAGGAAGTAAGAAGAAAGCTCGATCAGATGAAGAGAAGAGATGCGTCGACAGCAAGATGATGCTACATTCTAATTCCAACCAATCAAAAGTAAGCAGCTCATGTGACTGGAGCAATAAATCTCATTACATTTAAGACTTGAGTTGATTCACATTTTTAGTACATGCATAGATATGTACCAGGAACAGGATAGGAAACTCGATCACGTGACTGTTCTATCCTGTAGTTAAAATGTCGCAAATTTGAAAGAAAAGGTACCTAGTTTTTGTGGGACTGTAACTGTGCACCAGAAGGAATCCAGCGGTAGTAATTAGTCTCAATATGTAGCCAAGGTTCTTTACCGTGTTAATAGCTTGACGAATTTTGAAATCGTAAGGATTATGAAGCTGTTTTTTCACAAGTACTGTTTCAGAGGACAAAAGTTTGTGGGACTGTTGGGAGTAAACTGCAGGCCCGTAGCCAGGGTTACAAAAAGGGGGGTGACAAAATGAGTTACATGAAATGGGGGTGACAAAGTATGAGTTACATGAAATGGGGGGTGACAAGTTGGACTGGATGCACATGAAATACCACAAATACATGTTTGATTTAAGCAAACAAACAAAGGCACTAACTCAAAAGGGGGGTGACATGTCACCCCAATCACCCCCCCTGGCTACGGGCCTGAACTGCTACTTGTATGAAACTGAAACTAGTTTGTTTTAGACTATCATTATGTGATTTGTGTTAGTCAGGCAAAATTGTACCTCTAATAATTATAAATAATTTTATATTAATTTTTATTATTTTCACTGTATTTAAGTCGTATAATTATAGTAAGATTTTAACATTAAAAGATTTTAAAAACTACAAAACATAAGCAGCTGATTATTTCTCGGTCTCCACTGGTACTCCCTGCTACTACTTCATTTATAAAGACTGATGCTGAGACTGATTTCTTAGTACTTTAGATCTAGTAACACTGTAACAATAGTAATTCAGCAACATTTATGGTTACTTAGTTAAGTTGATATTTTGAGCAACTTGTCAGTTGCAAAAATAGAACTGATTTATAGATCTATTCTTAGCAACATGTTGATTACGAGATCAAAGTAACCACAAATGTTGCTAGCAAGGGCTATAGTAACACTGCTCAATGAGATCAAGGTCTGAGCAGGGGTCTGCGAGCAGGCCAGGTGCCTGCCGGCTCTTGGTTTCCAGGCCGAGTCTCCAGTCAGGCATCCTTTGAGCACAGAAAAGCCTTTTGGGCCGATAGGAAGCGTCTTGTTGTTAGTTGGATCAGGCAGCGAGACTTTCAGACAAACTACAAGGATTGAACCTTAAAGATGATGCGCTCACGTGATCCAGTTTCCTATCCTGTTCCGTACATATCTATGATACATGCACAACAAACAAGCGTAACAGTGTAAAAATATTCCTATAATTGATTTCACCACCTTGCATGTACAGCTGGGTTCTTATTATGACTTATGAAGATTCTCTCTACCTTCTACTGCTTCTAGAAAAGTCTTTAGACAGTATCTCTATGTTCTTTCGCTGTTAGAAAGCTCATAACTTTGTTCCATGTTTAAACCGCCATTTTATTTGCCGTGACCACACCCACTTACGTAGCGTGGGCGGGTGGTTGCTACATAGATACTACATACACGTATCTATGGTTGCTAAAGCCGGTGTTGGAGGGTAGTTGGACCCCCCTTATTTTTGGACCGGGGGTCCAAGCGCTCGCGAGTAGTTGGACCCCCTTTAGTGTAGTTGTAAAGAAAATACCAGAGATCACGATGGTACCTTTCTCTTCGTGTCTCTATGCTTAGTTCGCTCGGGAGAGGTACAACAGATCGGCCACTTTTTGGCGTTATTTTGGTGGATTTCTGCTCTCAGTAATATGGCAGGCAGAACTAACCAGTCTATTCTCATGTAGCATGGCCTTGTGCATAGTTTTAATCATAAAATGAAACTGGGGTAGCTAAAGCTTGTTTGCAGGAGGGAGAATAAGACATTATCTCTTGTCACGGGGAGCGCACTTGCTTTAAACACCTGTTTTTACAGCTAACACATTTTATTTTTGTATCAAAGAAAAATATAAACATGTGCGTATATTATAAGAGCTCAAGTACAGGTGAAATAGCTTGCGGGACTTCACTAGAGACCATTCTTTCCAGCCATGTCAGGCATTTTCGTCCGCCTCTCACTGTCACAGAGACTGTACCTGAATAAACATTGATTTGAATGGGATCACGTGATC